AACATACTTCGATGTCAAAGCCTTCAAACAAGAAAGCAACTTTAACTGAACGGTTATACCGCTACTCTAAAAACATGTGTTTATACATGACATTATAATATTGACATGGAACATCGCAATAACGATATACTCTGTGCCATGAAATGTTAGGAGTCATCTTTATATAGAGACGTGGTTACTAGTGGGCCTATTTTCGTCCAACTAGATGGACCAATGATTCAGAATCGGACTGATTACTTTTCTTTATTTCTTTTGAGGAATCAAAGGGATAGTTAGATAGCATGACAGTTAGTTTAAAACAAGGAATATTTGCCTAATATAGTTTAACCACTTTCCTATGTGCCAATTGAGCAAACAACTTCAAGACAGATGTAATGTCCAAAGCTTGTGGACAGCTCCTTGCTTACCTTTTTTCTTTAATAATTCATTTCATTCGGCGCCCTACTTATGCATCAAATCATTAAATATATGAACATGATTATATTGGAATGCTACTCTGAACTTTTCAGTCAAACCTTCTCGTTTTATCAGTACGGTTGTCTGTAGCATTCTATAACGTTGTATTACGGTTGGAATCGTTTATTTATTAAATTAAGCTTTAAAGATCAACTTTAACAGAAGAAAATCAACCAAATCAGAAATTGTTTAATCGTTTTATTAACGTTGGTGAAATTATTTTTAGTATCGAACTAAATAACAAGGTTCATTAGTTACTGAATGTCCATAAAATGACTAAACGATTTCAAATTTAGTTGATTATTGGCAGAACTGATTAAAAAATGACCTAAAAAATAAGCGATTTGAATCTTCGTGCATATTCTCAGATGATAGGGTAAAACGTGAAGATTTATAAAAATAGGTTGCTAGCATATATTACTCTAATTTTAGTTTACAAAAACAGAGTGATTAAACTACTTTGTTTTTTTTTTTTAATTGTTTTTTGTTTTACTTTTCTCTTGAGACATGGTTGGAAATGAAGCATAGCTGCATAGGATTCCTCTAATAGGCACAGCACGTTGCGCCGGAGACAACAATGCAGGTAGGTAGGGATCAAAACAGTCCATGTCACCTTGGGAACCTCCCAAAATTATTAAAATCATGCACATCTTGCAAAACCCCAATGACATTGTTTTTGTGTATTTATTTAGTTATACCAAACACAGCTTACAACCATTATATTAAGGGTTGGTTTGGTATTGCTGTACTTTGAAAAAACGATGTTTCTGCTGTGCTATGAGAATAAGCAGTTGTGAAATAAAGCAGCAGAGTGTTTGGTAAACTTTTTTGTAAAAATGCTTTTGAAAAAAAAAAACAGTATAATAGTGTTTGATAAACTTTATGGATTATGATTTTCACACACCCTTAACTATTTTTCCCACACCCCTTCCTATTTTTTAATAGTTAATTGATATCATACTATTTAATCTTCCATATATACCCTTCCTACTTTCCGATGATAATTAATGAAATATTAAATAGGGAGGCGTATATATGGAAGATTAAATAGTAGGATATCAATTAAGTACGAAAAAATAGGAAGGGGTGTGGGAAAAGTAGTTAAGGGTGTGTGAAAATCACAACCCAACTTTTATATAAAACAGCTGTAACTGTGTGAAATGATAAAAAATGGTATAATATTAGATGTGCTATTAATTTAATTTCTTTAACAAATAAAGGTGAATTACTAAATATACTTTATTTTTAAAAGAAAAATATTTATAAACGTTATCTTAAATATTAATTAGTATGACAAACTACTTCAATTGAAATATTTTAGATTGAATAGCTAGGATTCATTAGTACAATATTGTTAATGTACTTGAAAGTAGTCTAATTAGCTGCATTCATCAAATGCTATTGTAAAATTTTCATAGCATTTTCCAAATGCTATTATAGCTTTTTATAGCATTCTTGTACAATCCATACCATCTAGTAGCATATAGGAAACAACTATAGCAGTTATGGAATCATTGTACAATCACATATCACCTCGAAACACTAACTAAACCAAAAAAAAAATTTTATTCCAAATTTCCAATGTCATATCACCATTGAATCATTTACAACTATATGATCTCTCTATTTTTTATACAAAGAGAACTGAACTAAGCAAATACAACCATATACTCAAATTTTCATCTCTGCTCTTTTAACCACTGCAACAGTTTTACTTTCATTTCTCACTCACTGTAATAATAGAAATCAAAAGTCACTCAATGATGAAAATCCTTCATAATAGACCACATATTATCAGCATTTATGGAGAGGCTGTTCCCAAGTCTCGAACCCGAGACCTACCGCTCATGGGGGAAGGCATTTGTCATCGCACCAAGTGCGACCTTTGGGGCGAAATTCACCAATATGACCAAATCCGATTGCAAGCAGCAACAGTTGATACAATCAAATAAGGTTAATCAAGAGTCATTATTGAAACATACAAGAGTCATTAATCAAGAGTCATTATTGAAAAACCCTAAAGAAAATGCAATCACTTAAACTCTAATCACACCAGATAGATTATGCAACACATAAAAGCTTCAAAATCCCAACACAAACACAAAATTAAGAATTTCAAACATCAAATTATTGAAAAATTAAACCTTTCACAGGTTGAGCGCCTTCGACCAAATCCAAGTGCCATGCAAGCATCTCGGGTTCGTCTTGCTGGTGCTAACAAAAGAAACAAAATGAGAGATGTAATTGAGAAAAACCTAAATTCACTCTCCTTTGAGCTAACATCCCATTCCTTAAGCACCTCGGACAGGACCCTCCACAAGTCCTGTAACTCATACAGCTCGACAGCTCTTCGTTTAACTACAGTCTAATCATACAGTCAGAACGAAATCCATAGACCCCAAATCAGAATATGAAGCAACATAAGCAAGTATCATGCACTCAATCAAATACTAAAATACTAATCCCTGATCCAAGCACATAAATCAAATTCCCATCATCAAAATCTATCACATACATAAATTTGACAATACGGGTCGAGATATCAGCTTATTCTACAAATCCACCAGCTCCTAAACCCCTAAAAACCAAAATCTCCATATCAGATTCACTTAAATATGCACACAATCATTAACATCCCAGCATAATATACACAAATATCATTAATCCCATATCAGATTCACTTATTTATACACAAATTCCAAAACCCATGATCAAGTTCTCCTAAATACGCACAAAATCGAAAACCCAATTATCAGATTCACTTAAAACACACACAAAATTAGAAACCCACAGCCAAAATCGCCCACAAATAACTCTACAGTAACTAAAAAACTGAGTTAATCAGGTAGGAAACTAAGATCAAATACGAACTTACACGCTGAAAGTGCCGGAAACAGTGTCGTTAGCAGAGCGCACCGCAGATTCAAGATCGAATCCAAGTCCCAAAGAGGAGCTCTCGTCAGTGGATTGTGAAACAGCGTAGGAGTTCCAATCGGCTAGCAAAGAAGACGATGATGGCTTCTGCGAGTCGTCGACTCCGCTGCCGGTCTGCGAAAACCATTCATGCGTCATCTTCTGCATTGTGAAGAAACTTCGCCGTGGAATCGGGAAAGGGTAGGATTGCCAGAAACTTTCATTAAAGGGTTACTGTTCACCTTGTACAAAACTGAAAAGCTAGTTTTTCAAAGCTGCTTTTTGCTGCTTCTGTTTTTTGGCTTTTTTTTCATCTAAAACTGTGAAAAAAAAACTGAAGTTGAAAGTTTACCAAACACCAAAAATTCTCCTAGTTTTTTTTCATACCATTTTTCTTAAAATCACCTCAATCCCAAACCATACCTAAAAGAGACGATCCCAAATAAACAAGGTTCTTTGCTTTGTTAAGGTCAGAGGTGGGGGGGGGAGGGAAAAAATGTCTATCGTATGCAACTGTACTCCTGCTTTGCAAAGAGGTTGTTTTCATGACTTGAACCCATAATCTTTAGGTGACAAATGAGTAACATTTTCATTGTGCTAATATTCGCCCTCACAACATTACACATGAATAGGCAAAAATAAACTAAATCAAAAAACTTTTTGAGATGCATTGAGGCTAGATTTTTGTGTTAGAGCGTTGATGTATTATCCCTTTTTACCAGCAATACGTGTACGATTATATTTAGTATTCATCGTTGATAAGTAGTTACGTAAATGAATAAAGAAGTTTCTCGTTGTGTAGAGCCTTGGTCAAACTAGCTGCCATCAAAATCATATACTATGACCTCAAGTTTCCAAGAATACCAAGTTGTGGTTCATAAAGCAACCGAGTTCAACTAACCAAACTCTTTATATTCCAAGAACAAGAAGACAACTTAACACTCCCATCCTTAGATCAAGACCATTATTGCACTGTTTTTGTAAATTCATAATTTTTTTTAAAGGAAATCAATTGGTGTTTTCGGTACGATAGTTTACTTTTTCGAGAACAGGTAAGACCAAAGGCATTTCAGCCTTTCATAACCACCATTGTGATTTATCAGAACCAAGAATCGAACCCAAGACATGCCGTGTGGAACATAGACCTAAAATTTGTCCCTAACTACATGAGCACCTTATGGTGGTTAATTTGTACTAAATGTAATTCTAAAATGAACAATCATCAGTTATAAATAAATACAATAGAAATACATAACCTAATACAACAGAAATATGTAACCTACGCGTGTACATTTATCAATGTAATTCGTAATCAAAACCTATTAATAGACAACTATTAGTTCTCAAATACATTAACAGTTGATAATTACTTGATTATTAATATTAATCTTCATCTCTAATGGTAATTTTTAACAAAAATTGGATAGCGCAAGAGGTGTAGACTAACGACGCGAATATTCAAGGGAGTGAAGGAGGAACGCGATCCCCACCTGAATAGGAGCGTGGTTTTCATTTGCACAACTCACAAGCTGGATCCGGCCCCACCCAGCGGCCCCTGGTCCCACATCCGGTGACCTTTCCACAGCAGCCGATTGGATCCACGATTTCACCCGCTGCGAAAGCGCGCGGTTTCACTCGCTATCCTCCTCCTGTCAGTCTCGGCGTGAGGTGTCAATCGTAAAATCTTACAGCAACGACACAGAAGGAAGGAGCTAGAGAGGAGAGAGAGTGTCTGAAAATCTGAAAGATATGGAGTCCGCATCGCCTCTCTCTCCTCTCTCTCCTCTCTCTCTCTCTCTCTAGCTACAGCAGGCAAACAAAAGACGCCATTACAACCCTCTCAATTCTAAACCCCACCACTCTGCCCACCGTTACTTTTACTTCTACCCGGCAAACCCAGCAGACCAGCACAGTACAAGTCTCTTACCATTTCACTCAATTCTGTACCCTTCTTAGCTCTTTTCCTCCATTGGGATTTCAATGTCGGGTTCATACGCTCAGAATTTCTCACCGGCGAGAGCGCTTTCTCCGCACCTGAGAGCGCCGCCGGATGTGGACAGCCAGTACTTGACGGAGCTGTTGGCGGAGCACCAAAAGCTCGGGCCTTTCGCGCAGGTCGTCCCCATCTGCGGCCGCCTCTTGAATCAAGGTTTCTACCAAAACCATCTTTTTACTATCGGATTAAGTTCTTATTTTCTGTGTTCTGATTCGGATTTGGAATTGTTTTGGGTGTTTTTGAGCTTTTGTTTGTGAACCCAATTGAGATTGTGCAATGGAAAAGCTCTGTATGCTGTTCTTTCTCTATGTGTGTATTGTGTAATTGCTTTTCTGGATGTTGTTTGTGCCGAAAACCCAATTGTGATTATGCCATGAAAAAGCTACACCTGCTGTTCATTTCTGTATTTCGGAATTGGGTAATTGATGAACTATGAAATGCTTGAGGAAAAAGGATCTGAACTTGTTGACAAGGAGAGTATAATGTCAAATTTTCTGCATCTAGGAAGGGCATGAAGATTTAACTCTTTGGGGTAAAATGGAACACTTCTTTTTCCCTCCAATATTGGGTTGACTTGTATGTTTGTTTACGTTATGTGTTCTTCCATTTCATGTAATCACTAATCACTCCTACTCAAGAGTTTTCTATTCGTAATATCGACGAGAACTCAGACAGGAAACTGATTCCATGCTCTATATTCTTGTTTTCATTGTGTTCTATGTTGAGGAAGGAAATTGCTAACTTTGGTACTCTTCTGTATTGATAGAGATAATTCGCGTCTCTGGAATGATGCCCAACCAAGGGTTTAGTGACTTTGACAGACTGCAACGTGGAAGTCCTAGCCCTATTGGTTCAGACATAATGCCAAAATATAGAGGGTCAGGCCTCGGTGGCTGGAACGGACGGCCTCATGATGTAAGTGTTGGCAATTACATACTCCCTTATGCAACACCATTATTTTGCACATCCGCACGTCCATTTTATTTTATATATAACACAGTAGTTTATTGATTATCTTTCTTGCTGCCCCCTGCCTGATTTAATTAATATGCATATGCCTAAATGAGTTTCCTGCTAGATTTGTATGTTTGTCTGTACATACCTCCGTAACTGGTATGAAAAGAATGTCAGTCTGAAAAACTAGTTATAAAACTCGTAAATAGTACTGTGGCATTCAGCAAGAAGAAAGCATAATCAGTTCCTGAGAGATAGCCAGTAGTATTCCACTCGGAAGACTTGGATCTTGCCTGAAGTGGGATTAGAATGTGCAATGCAGTATGGGGAATCTGGAAGTTAATTATGGTGGTCTTCTATCCACAGGTTGAGACACAGTGTTGCTTACTCTTTTTGTGGACTTGAGGACTGCCAAAACATTCTTATGTATCAGCCTACGGCATTGTTTCTTCCTGGGTCAGTTATCCACTGACTTTTTCCAAATTCATGTGTTTGCATTAGGCGGCTTTCTCAATTGTGAATTCATTTTGATCCAGGATATAGTCAAAGTGTGGTTAAGGCAGGAGTGTCCGTAAATGCACTGGCTTCATATACCACTAAATCCATTATTATATGGTAAATAGTGGAAGTTTCAGCTTTATAATACGGTTAAAGTTTAATTGATTTTATTTACTGACAAGCTTGGATTACCACAACGTTGACTTTATTATAATACTCTTTTGTCACATTTATTTGATATGGAATGCGCAACAGGTTCCCATCTTCCCTCTTTTTCTCAGTTTTATCTTTTTATCAGTACCGCAACATTACGTCTGTTCATCTTTTTTGCATCTAGTTTCAATAGTTTGGCTTTGGTTGCATAATGTAACAGAGATTAGGTGGTCCACAAGGGATGAATATGGAGTGGCAAGTTGCACCATCAAGCCCAAGTTCCTACATTGTGAAGAGGATATTGCGCTTGGATATTCCAGTAGATAGCTTTCCAAATGTAAGCCACCCATATAACTTGACAGTGCGTTAAGGGACGTTGCTAAATTGCAATCTTAAATTCGAAGTAGTTGGTTTAATGTTAACAAAAACATGTTACTGGGAGGTGTTTGCATGCGCAAGCACACACACAGAGTTATTATTTATTAAGGTTCTTAAAATAAGTACATATTTCTCAAAGGCATCTCAGAATTCTCAGCTGCACATTATTTGATGATCGACTGAGAAAACAAGTTCTTATTTAAGGACCTTATCTCAGAATTCTCTTGTTTGTGGTACTGAAACTTGTATTTTGTAGTTCAATTTTGTTGGCCGGCTTCTGGGTCCTAGAGGCAATTCACTAAAGCGGGTGGAAGCTTCTACAGGTTGTCGTGTGTACATAAGAGGAAAATGTTCAATAAGAGATATTGACAAGGTAGAATTATTCCCAGTTTTGTCATTTATTAAGAAAAGAAGTTTTCATTATTTTAAATCAAGTTCATTTTTTTTCTTGTGTTTCCATTTTATGCTATCTCTTTTGTTTACGTATTTTGACACGTGTTTCTTGCCTTGTTATTCTCAAGGAGGAATCGTTGAGGGGAAGACCGGGTTATGAACATTTGAATGATCCACTGCACATTATAATTGAGGCTGAATTGCCTGCTAATATTGTTGATATGCGGTTGAGACAGGCAAAACAAATCATAGAAGAACTTCTCAAACCTATGGTATCGTTTCTGACTTGTCCCTTCGGCTTTGCAATACAAATACTTTATTTTGCTTTTACGCTATGAAGTATCTTTTTTCTCAAATACATATTGCAACGGATCATGAAACTGATTTCTCGTTCCCTCAATGGACAATACGTAGATGTCCTTCATTCATATAAAAGTGCTTCTTGGTCTTTTATCGCCTTTTTTTTTTCACACAAACTGTGAGCTATAACTCTTGGTTTTTAATCACATTTTTTTCACAAAAATGATGGATATTAAATTCTCATTTTTCCTTTCAGGATGAGTCACAAGACCACTACAAGAGGGAACAGTTGAGAGAACTAGCTATGCTGAAATCCAATTTACGAGAAGAGAGCCCTCAACCATATGGTAGTGTCTCTCCTTTCACTTCAAGCGGGATGAAGCGTGCCAAAACTGGTCTGTGATGGTTCACTTAACTCCTCTTCGATTGGTTCGTCGTCCTGTATGAATCTTGAGCTTCCTTGCCACCGTATGCTTCCCGGTGTAATTCCATTCTGTGTGCAAACTGTTAAGGGATGACGCGTTGTGGACCTGTTTGGTGAGGATCAATGCAGGGGTTTTCTTCCATGACATTAAGATGAACGGAGATATTCTTTTGTTATAGCTTTCGTGTTTGTAGTCGATTGTGATTGTAGAAGTAGAACAATTATGTCATATAAGTTATTCTTTGTTGTGCTGAACATGTATCTGTTATTAACTTAATGTTGTCTAAACTCGAAAGTGGAATATGCATCGATTGTTTATTTTACTTTTAAGTGAGATGCCGTAAGTTCGACTCTGAACTTGTTTAGATGGTGAATTCGATGCCAATTTAAGTCCGACTCATTAGCTTATCCCTAATTCTCACCCCAAATATTGTTGCTTAAAAAAATGACTCGGTTGTGTGAAAAACAAGGGAGCTACTTATACATAACAGATTCATCGCCGTGTGTTGTTTTTGTTTAATAATGCAATGTTATGCCCAAGAAAACTTGCACATTATTTTGTATTATCAGACTGCAACGCTACGGTGATGATGAACCTGTTTCATATTAGTCTTCTTTTGAAACGGGGTTGGAGACCGGGCTGAACCCATTAGCTAAGTGAATGGGCTTGAAAATGTTATATCCCCAATTTTGTTTTATGGGCCTAACAACAGGCTTTGATTGATACAATAAGAAATAGAGTTGCGTAAACCGTAAGGCAAGCACATGAATTTCACATCAGAGAGGACGATGACGAAGGGAAGTGTAAGATATATTCTGAAATCATAAGAGCAACAGCAAGACATTAGGATCACGAATATAATAACGAAATTGACATGAAAAGGAAATAAACTTATCTATAGAATTCGGAGACATGGTTATGAGGATGAAGCCATTGATGAGCTCTAGGTTGTTTCTCCTTCCAATACTCCAAAATATCCCTCTACTATATGAATAGGTTTTTAGTATACAAGGAATTCAACATATGGAAGCAGGGACTTAACCTTGTATTTATATACTATTAGGGTTCCTTATTAGCCGGCCTATTAACAGCTAAGAAGGTCAACCCTATCACTTTGATTGAGTCCTATCAGGATGCAATATCTTTGTATTTGAACCTCTAGATGATTCTCCTAGATTAGCTGCAATGATTTAAGAATCCACAATTCTTACCTAACTAGGACTCTTAATTTACTCAAATTGCACATCACTGAATAATCAAGTGATTTGTTCCTCAAGTAAACCAATTGTCACACATTGCCATTCACAGAACTTTACAGTTTCTAGAGAGGAATAACAAAAATGGGGAAGCAGCCGGATACGTGGATAGAAACGGCGGATGCTTTTAGAAAGAATGAGAAATTTAAAGATGGGTTGTAGATTAAAAAGTGAGTTACTCGTACCTCGTATCGGGGTTCAAAATTGTTGATTGATATTAACTATGTATATGGAGTGTTACTCTCTAATGAACGCATGATTTCTTGTTTATGATTATTTGGTGAAAAAGATCTAAAGTGTTACGTCGACATTGATGAGACATAAGGGCCAGTACTTACAGTGAAGACATCAAGAAACGGAGTTAGAACTTGAAAGCAATTTAGCAAAGGGTAAGATTCTCGGAAGCATTGAGGAAGGAAAGAACAAGTGAATGAGAAAGTTCTCATAAGTTAGAAGGCAAAAGTACTGCCCTACTAGAGAGAAAATTCAGAAACACGATGATTGACTGACTGATCAGCGTGCAAGGGAAGATTGCGGAAACTTGGAAGCACATATTTTCATATGTATATTAAGAATCTAGACAAGGAGGTACACCCAAGGAAAAGGAGAAGGAGGTACACTCAAGGCACCAATAAGGACGAATTCAATTCAAAACGTAAGATACTTGAAAGAACTATGGAAGGAAGAAACTAGACGTGTCTAAAGCAAAGGATCAACAAGGACGAATTAAATTCGAAGTGTAAGATACTTGGAAGCACCACGGAACGGAAGGAAGGAACTAAACTAGTCTAAGCAAAGGATCGAATATATCCTCCAATTCTTGGATGCACCACCTTTTCACGTTATAAAAAGTTAAACCTACCGACATTTGTTGTCTACCATATCATCCTCCATTGCCCTTGTACTGTAATTTGTATCCAAGAGAGAAATTAAACACTGTGATTAGCTGAGTTGCAGGGAATTGAAGGAATGGCAGCTGAAGTTGTGCTTACTTTTGCTGCGGAGGGAATACTGAAGAAGGTGCTTTCACTTGCTCAGAAAGAATTCAAATTTGCATGGGGTTTCAAAGCTGAACTCGAAAAGCTTAAAGAGTCATTCACTAAAATTGAACTTTTGTTGAATAGTGTTGCCGACAAACCACAAGGTAGTATATAATTTTGAATTGTCTTATAATCCCGCACACACATGCTACATTGACAAGGCATTTAACTTGTATTCATTCTCCAATAGATCCGCCAATAGAGGCATGGGTGAAGAAACTCAAAGACGTGGCTCATGATGCTGAGGATGTCTTGGATGAACTCGAGTACGAAGGTTATCGGCGTAAAGTCGAAATCCAAAACCATATGAAGAAAAAGGTTCTTAACTTCTTTTCACTCTCCAATCCACTTGCATTTCGTCTTCAAATGGCGCCTAAATTTCAGAAGATCAATGCATCCTTGGTGGATCTCAAGAGTGAAGCATCTCTTCTTGGACTAGTTTCCAAGAATAAAGATGCAACCTCTCAGGGGATTAGATGGGACAGACAAACCAACTCACTCATTGGCAAAGATGAAAAAACTTTTGGAAGGGGGAAGGCTGTGTCAAATATAGTCACAAACTTGACCAACTCCAAAAACAACCAAGAAAATCTTGCGGTTATGGCCATTGTGGGAATGGGAGGCCTCGGAAAAACAACTTTGGCCAAGTCAGTATACAACGAGGATTCGATACACAAATTTTTTGAAAAGAGAATATGGGTTTGTGTATCCAACACTTTCGACGTCACTCTCATTCTTCATCGGATGTTAGAATCTCTTACCTTGACAAATGCCTCTTCAAAAGATAATCAGGATGCAATTCTTAAAAAACTGCAAGAAGAGTTGAAAGATAAAAGATACTTGCTCGTACTTGATGACGTTTGGAATGAAGATGCCAGAAATTGGGAGTATTTGATGGAATGTTTGTCAAAGCTTAATTCTGCTGGAGGATCTAAAATTATTGTCACTACTCGAAGTGGCAAAGTTGCATCAATCTCAGAAAAGCTACTTCCGCGACATGAATTGGGAAAACTTTCTGTGGATGAATGTTGGTCCATCATGAAAGATAGAGCTTTTCCCGATAGTAGTGCCCTTGAGTTCGATAGCAGTGCTCCTGAGTTCGAGGCAATTGGAAAAGAGATTGCTAAAAATTGTGGTGGTATTCCATTAATGGCAAAGGTGCGTACTATTATGTATAACATGAGATTTGCACCTATTTTTTACAATATTTTCATTTATATTATTTGCATGATGGTTGAATTGAGTTCGAATTTTTAAAGTACAATTTACATAGAATGGTTTTTTAGATGGTGTGGATTTTAGTGAAATTTTTTAATTGGCATAGAACGTATACATCACTTATATATAGTACACAAAATGTAGTTTCCCTAACATATTTTTTTTATTTATCAAAAACCAACAATAGCAACTTATTGATTTGAACAAGGCAGAAACTAGAATTAATTCATTGTCCCAACAAATCAAGAATAAAACGTGTTTTTAACTGCTTAATGGGTATTTTAGGAAATTCGTCAAACACCAAAAATAATGGAAGCTAATATATGATTTTGCACATGGCTTAGATTTTGTCCTTTTAGGCAAGGGGATTCATAATTAAGGAAGCCAAAACTTTCAAATTTTATACAAGTCCCTATTTTCTACATTGTTTTAGGACACCTTTGAAACTCACTAATCCAATCAGCATGTTTTGGGAGGCATTTTGCACACCAAAAAAAAGTATTGATTCTATTGAAGAATGGTTGTCGTTTAAAAATAGTATAATATGGAACCGTTCATTTTCGTGATAATCATTTAAAAATCATCTCTATAAAATTCATTTGTTCGGAGATCGTTTAATTATATCTATATGTATCAAACGAATGAACGGTTCATTATAAATATGTTACTTGGTATCAACATCATTCATTGTTTGTGTTCAATATACATACATATAGATGACTAAAAGGTCTCCAATTTGATTGATATTTGGTAGCAAATAAAGAGATCTAAGCCCTTTGCATTTTGATTATATTATTTGCAAAGTGATTGAATTGTGTTCGAATTTGGAAAATTCAATTTATATAGATTGATCTTCCATAAGGTTCAAAAACTTCAGCAAAAGGATCCAATCCAGTTAAAATCTATTAAATTAGTTAAGCGGCTTAAAGTAGTTGCATTATTATTGGATGAATTATTCTGTTATGACTCAAATTAGTATTTATTGGGCTGTCACCAATCTTATAGTTAAAAATTAAAATTTTAAAGTCAATGTTGGAGTTCAATTTGACTTGAGTATTATATCATCACCAATGTGCATTAAATAAAAGTCAAATATAATGTTTGAAATCAAATACGTTGTTGTAAATGACTTTGCACTTCACTCAAAAGTTTTTGATGTATTAGACAGAAGTTGTGTCTTATTCGAAGTGTTTGACTTTAACTTTTTATTTGAAGATAGCCTTAGGTCATGTATTTTCTAAATTGTTTGAGGACACCTAGTAACTATTTCTATTTTTTTTTTCTGGTCATGTCTTCTTCTTTCCATTTTTTCTTAAGCCAACTGCATTATTGGTGGATAAAATATTTTGTTATGACTCAAGTATCTTCTACGTTGTCTTAGGAAACCTTTAAAATTAAATAAAACTATTCCCTCTTTTTGTTTTAATTTTTCATCAACTTCAGTTAAACTAATGTACTTAATAGACCATTATGTGATAAACTCTCTAATCCATTTACAGGTTTTGGGAGGCATTTTGCACAATAAAAAGAGTACTCAAGAATGGTCGTCATTTAAAAACAGTAGAATATGGAACAACCATTCAAAAGAAGAAGATAGAATTATGTCAATTCTGAGGTTGAGTTTTGACAACTTAGAATCACCATCATTGAAGCAATGTTTTGCATATTGCTCAATGTTCGAGAAAGATGCTGAAATTCAAAGAGACAACTTGATTCAACTTTGGATGGCTCAAGGATTACTCCGTTCTTCACTCGGTGGAAGTAAAGATATGGAGGACATTGGCAATGAATATTTTGATATTCTATTGCAGAGCTCCTTATTTCAAGATGCTACAATTAGTGACAATGGCATAGTTAGTGAATGCAAGATGCATGATCTTGTGCACGATCTTGCGGAACATCTATCTGAATCTGAAGGCTTGACGAGAGATTTATGTGGCGTAGATAATACACATGAGATTCGACATGTTGCTCGGGCTTCTACTTCTACACTGGAAAAAATTCCAGAAAGAAGTGCTAGGAAATTGTGGTCACTATTTTCCGATAACGGTGAAGTTCCTACTAACATTCTTCCACGGTTCAAAGCTTTACGAGTCTTGAATTTAAGTAAAGCTAATATTGAAGAATTTCCAGTTTTGGTTGGAAGGTTGAAACACTTGAGGTATCTTGACATTTCTGGTACAAGATTCAAAGCACTCCCCAAATCTATAGGCAAGCTCTATAACCTTCAGACATTAAGAGCAAAGAATTGTACCCTTAAGGAGTTTCCAAAAGAACTGCAAAACTTGATCAACCTGAGACATATTTATTTTGATTGGAATATCAAATTCCCACAAGGGATAGGGCGGCTGACTTGCCTTCGAACATTACCTTACTTTTCAGTGGGTAATGAGATTGGTCGCCGAATTGAAGAGTTGGCTGGCTTGAAACAATTGAAGGGTGAATTAATTGTTTCTAATTTGCAGCTTGTAAAGAATGGAGAAGAAGCAAAGAAAGCAAAGTTAGAGGATAAGACGAAAATACGCCATTTAAGCTTCAATTGGACAGAAGATAGGTCAACAACAGACAACAACGAGGACGAAGATGTCCTAGAAGGCCTCCGACCACATCTTGAGTTGGAGAGCTTAAGTATTGCAAACTTCATGGGCAACAAGTTTCCAACGTGGATGATGAGTGGGTCATTAATGCCCAACAAATTGAAGAAGATTGAGTTACTTGGATGCGACAAATGTGAAGGAGTGCCGCCGCTCGGTCATCTACCCAGTCTTACGGAGCTTAAGATTAGAGGAATGGCTAACTTGAAATGTGTTGGTGCTGAGTTCTATGGTTATGATCTTGTCCACAATGTAGCCACGACAAGTAAGGAGGTAATTACTTTATTTCCAGCGCTAAAAGTATTATATATTTCTAAGTGTGGTGATCTAAATGAATGGAAGCAAGCACCGACAACGTCAAGAAAAAAAGTTGTGGTTTTTCCTAGTCTCGAGATGTTGACCATTGAAGATTGTTCCAAATTAAGAAATGCTCCGAGTCATTTTCCATTTCTCCAAAAGTTGGAGATGTCTTCTTGTGATAGCAGAACGCCAATAGAAGAAATAAGCAGTGGATTAACAACTCTCACTTTCCTCAAAATAAAAGGTATTAAGGAGCTTACTTGTTTGCCGCAAGGGATTTTGAAGAAGAATAATAAACTCTCATCTTTGGATATAAGTGATTGCAATGATTTAACTTGTATTACCCAAGATGTAGTCGGTTCTTGCAGTTCTCTTGAAAGATTGTGTATTTGGAGTTGCAAAAAGCTGAGGTATTTGCCAAATGGGCTAGACACGCTCCCGCTCCTTGAGGTATTGGAAATATCAGAATGTCCTAGTCTAGAGTTTATTCCAATTACACAGAGCATGGCATCTCTACAAGAAATAAAAATTGTAGATTGTGGACGATTGTCACGCTTGCCGAGTGGGTTGAAGAACTGCACCTCTCTCCAGAAACTGAGTATACAGAAATGCAATGGATTATCAGGCCCATTGAGTTTATGGGCCTCTCTCGTGGAATTGAGTATATGGAGTTGCGATAATCTGACATCAATTGAAATGAAAGGCAGCATGTCCCTCACCGCCTCTCTTCAGAAATTGACGATTTGGGATTGCCGTGAATTGACAAGCTTACCTGCTCTTCCACAACAATGTCCCTCTCTTCAAGAATTGATGATAAATGATTGCCCAAAGCTATCATGGTTTGGTGTCAAAAGTAGGAGAGTTGAGGAGGAGTGCATTAGTCTTGGACAACTGTGGATATGGAGTTGCCCAAAGCTAGCGTCCTTTTGTGCCCAAAATAGCAGAATTGACGAGGAGTGCATTAGTCTACAATCTACTTCAGACTTGCGCACCATGACCTCCCTTCGACAACTAGAGATTTCCTATTGTGAAAGATTAGAAAGTTGGGTGAGCAGCCTGCAATTCCCACTCTCTCTTGAGACGCTGTCAATAGTCAAAATCCCTAATTTACAGATTCTTCCAAGTTTAGACCACCTTAATTCTCTCAGGTATTTGGAAATCGGTGGGTTCTGGGAGGAGCTCGATTCCTTCCCTGATTTTCAAGTTGGATCATTAATGCATCTTGAATGTTTAAGGTTGTCTGGTTGGCCTAAGCTCAAGTCTCTGCCTCAACAAATTCAACACCTCACTTCTCTATCATATTTGATTATAGTTAACTTTGAGGGAGTGGAGACTTTGCCAGAATGGTTGGGTAGCCTTACATCCCTTACGGACCTTCTCATTTTTCATTGCAAGAATCTGATGAATTTACCAAGTGTCCAAGCTATGCAACGCCTCACCAAATTACAAATTCTCCGTATAGTTAGATGTCATCCCCTTTTAGTGGAAAGATGCAGGAGGGGCAGCGGCACAGATTGGCCTAAGATTTCCCACATTCCAGATATCATGAGTAAGTTTTGAAATCATTGAAATCAAATAACAGAGCTGACGGTATATGTTTATATCCTTTGTTCATTTATTCCATGCCTCCACTAGTACTACACTCAAATTTAAACCAGTATAACATAATTTCTTTATCCTTCTCCCTCTTCTTTTAAATCAGTCGGAAACTTCTGAGACAACAGTTGGATTGAAGCTATGTAACGCCTTGCGATACTTCAACAAATGTGTATTGGGAAAACCAAATTTCATGGTGTGCAAGGCCACACTTCTCCGAGATTACTTGTATTCCAGTTTTGTGTACAAACGACTCCAAATGGCTCAAACTTTCGCATTGAAATCAAGTCATGTAAGATTTTCAAACCCACACCTCTTCTCTTCTACTTCTAATTGATCAATACATTAAAATGTTGACTTCTGACTTACTATATATGTTGTGTGTTTCCCAGTGCCATCTATATTTCTTTTGCTATGCTGTGGCGTTTTTCTCGCTCTACCTTCATTTCTCAATAATATACTTCTTTTTATAGTCCTTGGGCATTCTCCTTTACATGTTATCTTTCTTAATTCCGGCAACATCAATCAATATTTTAACTTTCTTTAGTTCATCTGTAAGAGTGCTGAACCACTAGCTTGATCACCCATCGTGGTATTGAATCTTGTTTAATCACACACTGCCAGCACCCAAGTAGTGTTAGATGAGTAATGCCAAGAATTGTCATCATGTAAAACCATGTTCATATAATATATACAGCTACTGCAATTACTTTCTGTTTGTTATTGTTATCCTTATGAAGATTTTGGATTGATATTTTTATGGTTACTTATGACATATGAACAGATTTTCGAATCGTATGAACAGTGATTTGAATTTGTTTGATTTATTTATCTCTATTTCATATCCCTTGAGTAACTTGATGAACTGTCAAATACCCCATTATTGCAAAAATTAGGTAAAAGAATCTTCAATTACTCGAGATAATTTTCAAGCCTGCAATTCCCACTCTCTCTTGAGACGCTGACAATAAGAAACATCCCGAATTTAGAGTCTTCCAAGTTTAGACAGCCTCCATTCTCTCTGTCATTTGGAAATCGGTGGCTTCTGGGAGGAGCTTGATTCCTTTCTTGATTTTCATGTTGGATCATTAATGCATCTGACAAGGTTAGCCTTGTATGGTTGGCCTAAGCTCAAGTCTCTGCCTCAACAAATTCAACACCTCACTTCTAACATTTTTGGAGATATATTAATTTGATAGAGTGGAGACATTACCAGAATGGTTGGGTAACCTTACCTACCTTACAGAGCTGGACATTCAAGATTGCAAGAATTTGATGAATTTACCTAGTGTCCAAGCTATGCAACGCCTCACCAACTTACATACTCTGACTATTTATGAATGTCATCCCCTTCTAAAGCAAAGATGCATCAGGGACAGCGGCATAGATTGACCTAAGATTCTCACATTCCACTTATCCCAAGTATGTTTTAAAATTATTGAAGTCAAATTACAAAGCTCACGTTATAGGTTTATATCTTTTGTTCTTTTATTCTGTGTCTTCACTATTACTACACAAAAATTCAAAGTACGTGGTATAACAGAATTTGTTTATCCTTCTCCTTTTTAAGTCACACAGCAGTTGAATCGATGGTAGGCAGCACCTTACCAAATTTCATGGTGTGCAAGGCCACAGTTCTCCAAGATTACTACCATTCCAGTTGTATGTACAAATGACTCCACATGGCTCCAACTTCTGCATTGAAATTGATCGAGTGGCACGCTCGGTATGTGTCAACTCGAGAAACCATGCAAGTAGCTTTGATCCAATATCACTTCAACTCCGCATGTTGATTAAACAGTGGATAAGTAGCTTTTATGTTGTGCTTAAGTGTTAGGCCCATTATGATATGACGGTGGGAGATTTAAGAGCCCTTGATTTTTGGGTCTCACTAAGACCTCTATAAAGGGGTCGAATACCCTAAACAATCGAATCCACGAGACAAAAACTACATCACACCATTTTAGATATGTCTTGTAATCACATCAAACATATAACTGGCTAGTACAATAGACGTATCCCATTTTTAAGGGTGAACCACTTAAATTCTTTTGTTCATAGTTTAGCTCTATATCCCGAGCCCACCAAGGGTTGACCATACTGTCTTTGTTGAGCCCCTCAATTTTGAGCATTAACATAATTTTATTCTCAATGTTGAAAGATATCCCAAATTTGAATAGTTTTCCACGTTTAGTTAAAACAACCATGTTAATTGAAAACTTTTTAATATGATAATTAACTTTTCAATTCATTAATGATTTAATTAGTACTCGTACAATAGACTTCGAATGAACAAAAAAAATCAACAAAAATCTTCAAAACATATGCATCTGATCAACAAAAACTGGTATGAAAAGAATGTCAGTCTGAAATACTAGTTATAAAACTCGTAAATAGTAGTGTGGCATTCAGCAAGAAGAAAGCATAATCAGGTCCTGAGAGATATAGCTAGTAGTATTCCACTCGGAAGACTTGGATCTTGCCTGAAGTGGGATTAGAATGTGCAATGCAGTATGGGGGATACGGAAGTTAATTACGGTGGTCTTCTATCCACAGGTTGAGACACAGTGTCGCTTACTCTTTTTGTGGACTTGAGGACCGCCAAAACATTCTTATGTATCAGCCTACGGCATTGTTTCTTCCCGGGTCCGTTATCTACTGACTTTTTCCAAATTCATGTGTTTGCATTAGGCGGCTTTCTCAATTGTGAATTCATTTTGATCCAGGATATAGTAAAAGTGTGGTTAAGGCAGGAATGTCAGTAAATCTGTAAGGGATCCGGATCCCTTCCACCTGAGCCAACTGAGCATAAAATCCGGACCATTGAAATTTGATCAAACGGTTAGAAACAGGAGGTCCTATTAAAAATTATAATAACTTTAGCCGTTGGATCAAATTTCAAGAGTTCGGATTTTGTGCTAAGTTGGCTCAGGTGGAAGGGATCCGAAGATCCCTTTCCATCTGTAAATGCACTAGCTTCATAGGAAAGGGATCCTCTTCGGATCCCTTCCACCAAATCCATTAAGTCAATCAATCTGGGCTCTTGAAATTTAATCAAAAGGTTAAAAACAGAGACCCCTTTAAAATTTAAAATAACTTTAACCGTTAGATCAAATTTCAAGAGCTTAGATTGATAAACTTGATGGATTTGATGGAAGAGATCTATAGATGATCCCCTTCCGGCTTCATATACCACTAAATCCATTATTATATGGTAAATAGTGGAAGCTTCAGCTTTATAATACGGTTAAAGTTTAATTGATTTTATTTACTCTCTTGCCATTTTATGTTGCTTGAGTTGACTGTATTATAATACTCTTTTGTCACATTTATTTTATATGGAATGTGCTACAGGTTCCCATCTTCCCTCTTTTTCTCAGTTTTATCTTTTTATTAGTACTGCGACATTACGTCTGTTCATCTTTTTTGCATCTAGTTTCAGTAGTTGGCTTTGGTTGCATAATGTAACAGAGATTAGGTGGTCCACAAGGGATGAATATGGAGTGGCAAGTTGCACCATCAAGCCCAAGTTCCTACATTGTGAAGAGGATATTGCGCTTGGATATTCCAGTAGATAGCTTTCCAAATGTAAGCCACCCATATAAAAATTTGGCAGATATATTCACCAAATCTTTACCAAAGTGCACATTTCAGAAGCTAGTGTAAGGTATCGAATTACGTCTGCTTACCAATCAATTAAATTTGAAGAATACAGAAACAGGAGGAGATACATTTCAGAGGAGCACCCATGATACATGCATGTTGTACTATTTTTCCTTCGACTAGGATTTTTCCCACTGGTTTTTCCTATCAAGGTTTTAACGAGGCAACATAAGCATACTTAACACTATATCAACAATCCAAGCAAAGTTGTACTCTTTTTCCTTCGCAACAGTTTTTTCCCATTGGGTTTTTACGAGCAAGGTTTTAACGAGGCAACTGATATTGATATGTGGGCATCCAGTGGGAAGTGTTGTAAATTGTGGGAATGTATGCCCCATGCTAATAGTAAGATTCCCACATGCTTTAGCTAATAGTAAGATAGACTTGGAAATAGTTGTATTATTATTGTTGTATGAATTTTATCAAAAGGCAATGATTTCACTTTGTAAACCTTCACAGATGTGGCTCTATATAAAGAGCACTCCGTGTGTGATCACAATACACAACAAAGAAAAGAAATGAAAGAAATAATATCAGTATCTCTCATTTCCTCTCTTTACCTGCAATCTTTTTGTGTTATAGTTACGAAACTAAACAATGTGATACTTTGAACCCGTTTCGCTCCTGTCCCTACCAAGGATTATCTCTCCAACTTTTGCCTATTTATAACATGTATTGGTTTTTAAGTTTTTGACCGACCTTCTTTCTAGCCTACTGTTTAATTTATTGCGAGCATGATACCTCAAGGTTATTGTCAAATCCCGGCCCGGGCAGCCACCACATCCCAGGCCTGACTCCACCATAGCACGATATTGTCTGCTTTGGGCACACCCTCACGATTTTGTTTCTGAGAACTCACGAGCAACTTCCCAGTGGATCACCCATCCTGGGAATGTTTTGGCCCATTCTCGCTTAACTTTGGAGTTCCTACGGAATCCGAAGCCAGTGAGCTCCCAAAAGGCCTCGTGCTAGGTAAAGATGTGAATATACATATAAGGCTTACATGATCCACTCCCCTGGACGATGTGGGATGTTACAGTTATGACCTGGGTTTGAAGGCTGATATTGATGATGGTGAAGATTATGATGATGTGATTTTTAAGAGCTTAACTATCTTTAATATTTTAAATCACATGTTATAATATTTTTTTCATAGATATAGATAACTGCAATTATAAATTTTTGTATAAAAAAATATCATACATTAATACAAAAGTGTACATAAATAAGGGATTTTGATCAAAAGTTGAAAACCAATAAGATTTCAACTAAAGAACATAGAAAACTAGAGACTGCATCCAAAGTGTTAAAAAAAAAAAAAAATTGAAAGTCATCTTCTTTTCAATCTAGGGTTTATCCTTCAACCTTCAAATGTATTTTTACCGCCACCAACACTGCTTCGATTTGATTTATAAAAATTCCTCCACAAAATCAAATCTAGCCTAAACCCTAATCCTAAACTCTCTTCTATCAGTGTATTGAATCTTCGTTAGATAAATGAATGCATTTTAAACGGGTGAAAGGGGTTTGAATTTGACATGGTTGAATCAATTCTGCACATGAAGTTCGGGTTCTGGATGTATGTTTCTGAAAACAATTCGAACCGTCCTAATAGAGAAAGAAAGACACACACACACATATATATAGAGTAGAAGACATTTGGATAGAAACGGCAGGTGCTCTTAGAAAGAATGAGAATTTAAGTTTAAATATGGGGTGTAGATAGAAAAGCGAGTTGCTCATATAGGGGTTAAATTTAGAACCAATTAAATTCAACACGAGAGATTTTTTAATGTATTTAAAATATAAAACGGTATATCACGTATTATAATACCAATAAAAAAACACTGAAAAATATATAGGCCTAATCGGATAAATGGTCCCCGTGGTCATAAGGTATTCGGATGATAGCCCATGTGGTAAAAAAATTCGGATTTAAACCCCTGTGGTCTAAGTCTGTTAGGATTTATGCCATTCTGTTAAATAATGCTGACGTGGCTGCCAAATGTCTGCCACGTGGCAAAAATAATAATTTTTTTTAAACCTGAATTTTTACAAAAAAAAAGAAAAAAAAAACCCAGATCTGCAGAAGAAGAACAAGCTCCCCCTACCCTCCGCCCGTTCCCCCCCCTCCGGCTGGACTTCTTCTCCTTCTTCTTCTTCTTCCCGCCGGAGACCAGCTCCCCCCCCCCCCGCCGGAGCCCTCTACCCGCGCGACCCTCCTCCCTCTCCTTCTTCCTTCTTCTTCTTCTTCCCGTCGGAGACGAGCTCCCCCCTCGCCGGTCTCCCCGCGCGACCCTCCTCCCTCTCCCTCTTCCTCTTTCTTCTTCTTCTTCTTCTTCTTCTTCCCGCCGGAGACCAGCTCCCCCCCTCGCCGGAGCCCTCTCCCCGCGCGACCCTCCTCCCTCTCCCTCTTCCTTCTTCTTCTTCTTCTTGCAGATCTGGGTTTTTTTTTTTGTAAAAATTCAGGTTTTTAAAAAAAAAAAAATTATTATTTTTGCCACGTGGCAGACATTTGGCAGCCACGTGGCATATATGTGGCAGGTACATCAGCATTATTTAACAGAAGGGCATAAATCCTAACAGACTTAGACCACATGGGTTTAAATCCTAACAGACTATGACCACAGGGGTTTAAATCCGAATTTTTTTAACACAAGGGCTATCATCTGAATACCTTATGACCACATAGACCATTTATCCGATTACGCCAAAATATATATTGCTTTATTTATGTCAAGTGATTTATCGGCTCGTGTTTCGAAAGTATCTCTTTTTCAACACAATTGAACCAGTGAACGAAGAAGAGCCACGACTAAAGTAAATCTATTCTCCATTACTTATTATGAAAGGAATCTACGCTTTATTTTGCGATACAACTATCCTAATGGAGAAAGAAAGAATGAGAATTTATGCTTAAAGATAAGGTGTGGATAGAAAAGTGAGTTACACGTATAGGGGACACATGTCTAAAACAAAGAAGAATATATCCTCAAATATATATGAGATTATAAGATCATTTTTAATTTTTGAGTTAAAATCTAAAATTTTTTAGTCTAAAAAATTTAGGTTTTAACTTAGAAATAATTTTTTTACTCTAACCATTTTGGGTTAAAATTTTAGCTCCAAATCATTAAAGAATGAATTTAGGTTTTTTTTTTCTCTCTTAAAGGAACTTTTTTAAAAGAAAAAATTATGTATACTGTTCAAATTTAATTTTATGAACATTTTAACTTAAAAATATTTAGATTCTGCCAAATACTGAAAAATCACTAACAGACACCATGAAACTCGTGAAACATTATGAAAGAATA